CCACAGGTCGCTATTCTGTTGTTATGCCGTTAGTATAAATTCGCTGATATCTGGTTTGAAGGTACGATGCAATCCAGGAAATAAGCCATTTTGGGAGATATGTGAGGTAATTACATTGATAGTTTAGTAAAATAAAACTCGTGATCAACTACACCAAAGGCTTTAGCAAAGTCAAAGAATATTGCGATTAAGTTTTTTTTTGTCTTTAGCAAAATGCCAGTCTTTTATGACACATGCAATTGCATCCATATTACTTTTACCTGGTAGGAAGCCTCATTATTTGTTGTTTTCTAAGGTGGTGTGAGTATGGTGTAAGTAACTCTTTCTAATGTCTTGCAGAGGCGAGATGTGAGAGAGATCGGATAAGTCTGACCAGTTACTTGGGTATGGTAGTTTAGTGATAGGTGTTATATTTACTTATTTTTAACAAAGCGTAAATGAGTGAGACAAACACTGGTTAAAAAGAAGACTTAGAATATCGGAGATTTCAAGACGAGCGCATTTGAGTAATTTTGGGGAGATCTGGTCGAGTCCAAGTGATCTTTATTTTAAGTCTTTTAAATGGTTTGAAAAAATGCCAGTAGTAAAAAGTAAGGGTACATTTTGGTGGTTTGATTTAATTATAAAGCAAAATTTGTATGGCTGTTTTAAACTATTCTAGACACTTTAAAAACCTTTGCGGTGTCATTATGTACAAGACTAAATATCCTTTGATTAAAATATGTTTAAAAAATTTATACTATTTATTTATACATAGTCATATTAACTATTGTGATATTGCCTGGGCAATCATTCATATCAACGTAAGTCAAAACATTGGTGTTAAGCTTAATGCTTAAATTATCAAAAGCAAGAACAAAAAAACTACACTAATTAATTTGAAAATTAATTACTTTGTGACAACAAAAATGTTGCACAGAATCATCATTGTCACAATAACCAGAAATAAGAATATTTTTGGAATGGGCAAAGAAGTTGTTGTTCTGCAACACAGGTTCTCGTACTTTCAAATCTTCTTCTCCAAACTCATGTCACTGTTTCATCAAATTAATTTTTTTTTGCACATTCAGCACAAGAAGAATGACTCTTGATGTTGAACCATGAAAGAGCGTAAACATTTACTTTAAAGCGTACAATTTTTAAAGTGCCCATCACAGTCTTTTTTTGACATATAGACGTAATTCTTTACTGTCTGTATAATCTTGCTGCACTGCTAAGCATGCTCTAAGAGGATATATTTGACCTGTAATTAGGTTGTTCTTAACCTTAAAGTTACTAAAGTTGCTAAATCCTGTTTATAAAAATGGAGATTGTTATAATATGCCTAACTACCGTCCAATTTTCCTCCTACCAGTGTTCTCCAATGTTGAAGAAAAAGTAATCTACAATTGAATTTATAATTACTTGAAGTTAAACAAACTTTTATATAAAAATCAATTTGGTGTCCAAAAATGTTGTTTAACAGAGCATGCAATCATTGAACTTACTAATAAAATATTTCAATTTTTTGATAAAGGAGATCATGTACTGGGAGTATTTATAGACCTTTCAAAGGCATTTGATACAGTTGACCACAACATCTTACTATCAAAATTAAAATATTGTGGTATCAAAATACTAATGTATAAATGGGTAAAAAAATCTGAGTAACAGAAAGCAGTTTGTAATAAACAAGAGTCAAGTGTTGTTGATATTAAGTGTGGAGTTTCTAAAGGCTCAATCTTAGAACCGCTATTGTTTTTAATTTACACCAATGATACGCATAAAGCATCATCTATCTTCATCAATCTTCATCATCGTATCTTCAACAATCTATGTTAATAATACAACTTTGTTTTATAATCATAATCATAATCATAAATAAATATAATTATAATCATAGTAATTTAAAATCGATGTTTGGAACAATGAATACTGAAGTGGAAAAATTTAATTTATGGTTTAGAGCAAATAAACTATCCTTAAACTGTGAAAAAACTAACTACATTTTATTTAATAAAACAGGTCAATCAATGTCTCTACCGTTAAAAATTCCAGAGTTGCTTATTAACAACATAAAAATAAAACGGGAAAAATATGCAAATTTTCTTGGTGTTCAAATTAATGAAAATTTATATTGGAGAAATCATATTGGACTTGATTTAAAAATATCATCTGGAATAGGTATTTTATATAAATCTTCCCCTTTCTTAATTTCTGTTCAAGAAAAAACTTCACTTTAGTCTAATTCATAGTCATCTCACATATGGTAATATAGTGTGGACCAATATACACAAAACAAAATTAATCCAACTTCAAGGCTTGCAAAATGCTTGTAAAGCAATTGATTATATTAGTAGAATGGAGAACCTTTCTAATGCGATGACAAATATGAAAGTCTTAAACTTAAAAAAACTTAATTTATATCAGATTCTTATTTTTATGTTCAAATATAAAAATAGTATGGTACCGAATTCTTTTTTAAACATATATTCGCCATCATTTTCTCAAAGTTATAATCTGCGATCAAATAGCTTCCATAACTATTATAATAAAAAAACTAAAACCCGGGGTTCTGAATTTTCAATTATGTCACAAAGTCCCAAAATAAGGAAAAAATTGAAAAATCAAAAATTAAAAGACTTAAAGGAATACTGTCGTTTAAACGGCAAGCGAAGCGGTATATTCTTGGTTTGTAAAAATGATTTCAATAAATTTAAATATATATATATATATATATATATATATATATATATATATATATATATATATATATATATATATATATATATATATATATATATATATATATATATATATATATATATATATATATATATATATATATATATATATATATATATATATATATATATTAATAAAATAAAATAACAATAATAACAGAAGAAATTGAAATACTAGTTACAAAAAAAAACTATTTCTAAATTTACTTAAATTAACTTTTTACTTAGATGCCAAATGGCGCTGTTTAGGGAATCTACTAAAAGATTTTTTGGAGTTTTATATCCAAAACTGCTGAATCACAAACAACTACTTGTAGCGTACTTGCTGAATATGTATTTTCAATTATTGATAGTATCTTAGCTGCTTTACACGTTTCTGGCATTACACGATCCATTCACCTGTTGTTTAGAAGTAATACAATAGCATAATGTTCTTTCTTTATGCTTATACGTACACCAGACTTCTGAAAAAAAGTTACACCTTTTTTCTCATTAAATTTAAAACAAATTAATTGTCGAATCTCGGCAGCATACTTAGAAACTTGTTTCTACCATCAAAGACCTTTCTGTCATCTAAATTTCCATGATCTATTGCATTTTCTGCTGACAATAGCTTCATATCTTTTAGCACTGCAAGTACTACAAGACAAGCATCTCTGCTACTAATCTTGCATCTGTCCAAAGCTTTGCACAATTCTGGATATTGCTTCATTTTTCTGACTGCTACAATATCACCGTCAGATTTATCGCTAGAAATTTCACTGTCAAGAACTTCATCACCCATGTTTAGTTGCAGTTCGACGTCTTCACTACCATCATTGTCAGCATCATCACTCATGCCGTTGTTGATGTAGTTTACTTTTGTCTCATATTTCATTTTCTGATTGAGCTTAAATTTCAAACGTTTGACTGATCTCATCTCTTTTATATGCAACTTATCTGCAACCTTTTTATCTTTAGCACCTATAAACATTATCCTTTCAGTTTTTTGATCCAACCAGAAAGACCATTCTGTGAGAAGTATTTTATGCGACATTAGACAAATATATCGTGAATTTTATTGTACACCGCTGTAAATCCATTTACAAGTTTGTAGTGATTTTAAACAGTCTTGGTAAGTGATGGATGTCTTTATAGAACTGGGATATTTACCAAGACCCTTAACTTTATTAATCAATTTCTTATATGGTTGATTACACTCTTTTCATTAATTACCGAGATACTTTCTGCGTTATAGATACTTAGAACTTCCTGTGCTCCAGCTGTCATTCTCTTCTGCATACAATCATATTTTTTATGCTTCAAGTAGTATTCATACAGTCAATAAATATAACTAGAAGTAGAAAGTTGATTTTTCTTTTCATAACTGCAGGCTGGCGCAGAACGGAGAGCTTTGTCGCAATTTTTGTGCTGACGGACGTCATTTTAATACAATGGAAACCAACTTATTTAACCATACTCAATATAATGGAAAACAACTTATCCAACCAACAATAGATGACACGTAGAAAAGATTGATAATAAACAACTGATTGAAATAAACCCTTTTGCAGCAAGGATTAATTATAACTTTTATTAACAATCTACAATATAAAGCAGAACATGTTAAACGCGTATATTCGCGTATTATATTACAAGCCTTACTTCAGGTTTGATGGAGGTAAATTTACGATATGTTAGGATTACTTTGAATTGAATAAAGTTTAGGTATTAATAATATTTGCTTACTTAGACTTATCTAATATCATTTCATGTACCACCGGACGTAATATAAACTAAACTTAGTTAACACATAAAGAAATATGCCTTTATAAAATTCAAATGCGTTTTCACATTATTTCATCATTTTTAACTAAAAGTTGCAGGTACTTACTATACTCAAAATTTAAAAACTTTTATAGCCCCTACTGTTTGACCAATAGGAAAACTTTTTATGCCAAAAAAAAGTTGTCTTTTTTTTGTAATTGTTTTTTGTTATCATTGGTTGCTTTTTTAATTAAGTCACTTAATTTAAGTGTATGTTTCTTACCTATTTTTTTTAAATATAAATCACAAGCAAAGAATATTATGCGTGTATGCGTGTATTACACGTGGATAATGAATTTTTTTTTGGTTTAAATTTTACAATAAAAATAAATAACTCATTTCTTTAAAATTATTTAAAAATTTTTTATCTCAAGTAACTTGTATATAAGTTTTTTGTTTAAACTTTATTTAAGTTTTTTTTTTACTTTGTGAAAGTTTACTTGTTTACTTTTTTTTTTAATTGCAACATAGTTATTGGGAATATCAGAAAATGCAACTGAAAGTGAAATTGTTGCAGCATATAAAAAAAATGCCTTAAAATACCATCCAGATAAAAACAGAAATCAAACAACATGGTCAACTGAAAAATTTCAAAAATTGATTCGTGCAAAAAATATTCTTCTTGATAAGTACGAAAAAGAAAAATACGATGAAGAACTAATTAAACAAGGAGTAAGAAATCCTAACGCAAAACCATTACTATGCGATATTTGCTCAAATGTAGCACATAGTTTTCAAAAGCGTTGTCTTCAGGGTCACGAACACAAAAGTCCTCATTGGGATGAATTCAAAAAAGCTGAAAAAGAGTTTGAAAAAGTAAAAAAAGAAGATTTTTTAGTTAGATTCGAAAAAAAGTTGGATGAATGTTTGAAATTATTTATCAACGAAAAACTTCATAAGCTAGTACCTTTAATACTTCGAAAAGATCACAATGATCCTGGTGATAAAGAATTTATTCAGATCACAGATTTACTTGAATCCGAAGTATCTAATTACCTCGAAGCTTTTCTTTCAGAGAATATAAATTCGATTGCAAAAATTATTACGTCAGTATTTTATGATATTGGTTCTTTTAATAGCGATTACTTGCTCTGTGACAATAAGAATTTAAAAAAACAAGCGTATGTTTTACTTTCAGGAACTCTGATAAAAAGCTCAATCTTTGACAAGTTGTCAAGTAAGCAACGTGTAAACGATAAAGACAATCTGTACGATACATCAGTTTTGAATTTAAATGAGCTAAAAATTTTATGCGATTTTTTCTGTATTACATTTTCAAAAGGTGCATCAATTGACAATTTAGAAAACGAGGTGAAACTAGTTTTGAACTTTGAATCTAAAAATGCACGAATGCCAAATTCCAACTTTCAAAACGATTCAACAGAATGCAGCTTTTGTCACATCAAGTCTCGTTGGGGGAGTGCTTTCTGGAAAAAATGCTATTTATGCTCGCATAAATTCTGTTCAAAATGTTCAAATAATCTCGTTAAGTCAAAGCTTCCGTATCTTGATATGGAAATCCGATGTATCTGCATTGATTGTAAAAAATGGTTTGATGAGTTTCAAGCAGTTAATTTATTTAATCATGCAGTTAAGTCAATTTCAAGCAATTCAATTTCTCTACCAACATTTATAGCAATTTGTGACTTATCAAAACTAATCAATCATGAAAGAGCTTTTTGCTTGCAAATCGATACATTTTTGGCTAAAGAGATGCTTAAACTAAAAGAGTATAATCGGCTTTTTGCATACCCATTTTGCAAAACATGCAAAGGAATAGAAAAAGTGGATATTTTTAAGTTATATTTGAACGCCATATTTTTTTCCTTAAATGAGTGCCGAACTTTATCATTATCTAAAAAAATCTCCTATATGGAATCTCTGTTACACTGGATGAGATCTCAGAAAAATACTTTTAGAGAGGTAGAACTTTTAGGAACGACAATGAAATCTGAGTTTATGAAAAAGTATGAAATTGAGTTTGAAATTCATGTTAATATGTTAAATGAAGAAATTCACAACGCAATCAATAAAAACTCTTTACAAGATTTACTTGATCTTTTGTTAATATATGAACAGGATAGCCGAGTTCTTTTTGCCAGCATAAATAAACTTAAAGAATATAGCAATAAAATGCAATGGAGTAGTAAATCAAAGCTTTTGGTGGAAATTTGCGTTGCGATGACAACTTTTTCAAAAGATCCATTAAAAGGAATGAAATTTTTGGGCGAGGCATACTGGAAAGGATGCACGACCTATTGTGATGTAGAAGAAGATATAAAATTTACGGAGTTTTTTTCTCACTTAGCAACGCAAAGCATAGTTTCCAATGCAAGAATGAACTTCTTTAAAAACCTTGAGCATATTTCAAACAAAAACTTTCTTACCTGTCTAAACATTGATGAAACAGATTTACTTAATTTACCTTGTCTAAACAGCACCATGAATGTTGATCACTTAAGTACATCTGTTGCAAACATTAAAATGTTTAAAAAGTTTGAAGCTTCAATAAACACGTTGTTTACAGAAAAAAAATGGGATAGCATTGATGTTGCTTTTGCATATTATGACTTAATTACATCATGTAGTACGTCATCGCAGTTTCTGATAACTACACTTGTTACTGCTCAATGGTTTGCTAAAGCGATGTCTAACACTCACATGGATGAATCAAAAAAGTATGCCTGCAAGGACATGATTTTAAAACTAACTTCACTAGCTGCCAGTTTGGCATTTGAACTTGGGACCCATGCTTATTTACAGTTTTATGCTGCGTATAAAATATGTGCTTTACAGTTTTATGCTATAAAAAATGTTGCATATGGTCTGGAACCCGAGGAAGAAGCTAAATCCCTTTGTGAAAACTTAGAATGGTTAGTCTGCAGTACCAGAGTTTGTCCCATATTGTCACTACCTAGTTTTATTAACTCATCTGAAGCACTTTTTTTTGACTTTTTTTCCAGAGAAGCTCATTGTGAGTATTTATTTGCTGTCATGTATCAGGAAGAAACAAAAAGACAGTTAACAGATGCTATATTAAGATATAAAATATTTGAGAATCATTTCAATGGAATTTGCGAAGTTGCCGAGGAGTTTGAAGAGGAAACTAAGCTTAATGCTATGAGTGCGTTGTTAAATGAAAAAGGCTATGACTGGGAAGGTGTGCAGCAACTTACAAATTCTAACCTACTTCGTGTTGATAAACAAGGTTGGCTCAAAATTAATCAATCGCTTTTAGGTCCAGTAAAAAAGGATGGAATTTGCAGAGTAAAAGGTTTTTGTATTAACAAAAAAAGTAATGATGTTGATCTTATTTTAGGCAAATCATTTTTAACTTCAATTTTGTTAAGAAACCAACCATTATTGTGCTGGCAAGATGTTGCTACTAGTATTTTAATGAGCAGCCCTGTCTGCGTATTTAGTCTTGATGGAATCAACCAGAGAGAAACCAATTACCACCCATTTAATCAGTATTTTTTTATGCCTGAAGAACTTGATGGAACTGAGTTCCTTTCAACATTGTTTCATACTGATTATTTACTGAAGCAATTTAGTATGGGAGAAGAAATTTCACTTGTTCCGCCATTTAAACATCGCTCAGTATACAATGGTCTTTTAAAAGATCTACCTTATGAAATTCAAGAAATTCTTAAGCCAATTCATCTCCGCGGGTTTTCAAAAAGTAGGGTTCATCGTTTGTGGATTCAAGCCGATGAAATGGATTTAGATATCAAAGAAGATAATGAAAAAGTTATTTACCTGTTCGGTGACATTAAAATGAGTGTGCGCTGCATGCCAATGTTTTACAATGATTGCGGTGAGCTACAAGATCAAAATGAGTTAGATCCTAATTCACCTGAAAGTCAATTTGCGTCCGATTTTACTAAAAACTACGAAAAAATTGGGAAATTTTTTCCAGAATTTTTGCGCCTTAGAGAGCTATGCAAAATTCAGCGATTGGGCCAACTTTTGGATTTAATAAAAGATAGCAAAATAAAAGAAATCGAAAATCTAGTTGATCCGAACAATGAGGAACTTAACAAGCAACTTAAGTCAACCTTAAGGCAAGCTATTTTAGATCAGAAATCTCACTTGGAAAGTGTTTTTTCGAAAATTTACAGTGAAGTTCGTAAGCAAGTGGTATGGATTAATGATGATGTTATAGGGCAAGTTCGTTCTTCCATAAATTCTCAGTTTGGTATCTTGATTTCTTACTCTGATATTTCAAATTGGCTCAAACATAGTAACTCTGAAAACATTATTAAAGAAATTATGCTTGTTAAATCAGCTGAAATTGATCGGCTTCAAAAAAAAAGTTTTAATGACCTAATTAATGAAAAGAAGAACCAATTGAAAGCATTTCAAGACAAAATTGAAGAGTTAAAAAAAATATCAAAAGAAAAATTGCTACCATTAAAACCCAAAAACGGGTGTAAATGGGTACCTGCTGTTTGTCACTCTTATGATGAACGAATACGGTATGGTGGAGTGTCGCTGTGTCCAAAAATAAAGTTTACCAATTTGACAGTTAACAACTGGATGACATCCGCTACTCAAATCAATGCACCTGTTATTTCTAAAATACATACAAATATATTCGTTCCAAAAGTTTTTCAGCCTTCAATGTCATTACCGCAAAAAAAGAGTTCTTCTCCAATAGGTAACTTTCATTTCTTTTAATAATGTTACTTACATTGCATTTTACACTATATTTTAATAATGTTACTTAGCCGCTATACAAAGTAGACAAAATGTGTTATAGACCTCTACAAGACGTTTTAAAATAAAAACGAAAATGTCAAAACGTCATTTAGATGTCTTCAAGTCAACTAAACACGTTTTGCGTTTGTTGAGTTTAAATGATATTAATAGATAGGTGGTAACAATATTTAAACAGGCATCAAAATTAAAGGCAAATAGAAATAAAAATTGTACTCTCTAATTGTAACTTTTCAAAAAGTTGTACTCTCGTACAGGTGTACGAGAGTACAATTTTACGGAAAGCTATTCTATTGTACTGTTTTTATAACCTTTATACTTGTATTACCGCAAACAACATTGTATAATTTTATTAAAAATGCGTCAAAGTTGTACACTTTGTTATAATATGTTTTGTTTTTAATGATTGTGCAAAGAAATATTAATTTTATAACTTGTTGCTAATTTACAACTAGTTGTACACTAAAATTAACCAGAAATAAACTTTATACAGCGTTTATACAATAATGGGAGTTTTGTTATTGTTATCTCTTCTACCTTTTCCTCCTCCTTATTTGCCGTTTCCATTCCCAAATCCAAAGCAATCTACCATAGTTGAACCACTCCCCAATCTGCAGCAGAACTTCTTTTTGTATTTATATTTCTTATCTTTTATTCAAAAATTATTATATCAAATAGAATGACAGTCGAGTAGAGTGATAGTCGAATAGAATGATAGTCGAATAGAATGGTAGCCGAGTAGAACGAGAGTCGAATAGAATGTTAGTCGAGTAGAATGATAGTCGAATAAAATAATAGTCGAATAGAATGATAGTCGAATAGAATGATAGTCAAATAGGATGATAGTCGAATAGAATGATTGTCGAATAGGATGATAGTCGAATAAAATGATTGTCGAATAGGATGATAGTTGAATAAAATCTTCGGATTTATTTTTATTAATCGTATGGAAACTAATAGAAACAATTAATTTAAATTCTTCAGAATTTAATCAAGTTTTATGTTCAAACGAGTTATTATATAACTTTTCTTTATTATTTTAGTGACAATTACTCAAAATCAGTTAAAAGAATATCGGTTATTAAACAAAACACACACACAAATATTCTGTAAAAATCTGCCTGTAAAATGTCATTAAGCAATTAAAAAAAAAATAGAAATAATCTATTTCATGGTTATTTGTGTTACTTTTTTATATAATTGAAGTTCAATAAAAACAAGAAAATTATGAAAACTTTTAAATGTAAATAGTTTTTTTAATAAATTTAATTTAGTTATTCAAATTTACTATTTAATATAAAATTAATTCATAAAATTAATTCATAATTCATATATAACATAAGCATATACATTATAAACGGGTAGGCATTACCATGTTTTAAAAATATTTAAATATAAGTCGGTATTTAGTTTGACTAATAGAAATAAAGCGCGTATTTGTAATAATATTACGGGAATAGGGTAACTTCACATACTATCGACTATCACATAATCTCGTACTCCATCTTTAATTGCTTAAATGTCAGTTAACTCACACGCTGCACCAGCAAAAAAAATTCATTTAGAGTAGCAAGCCAGTCTCATCAACATCGAAACAATTTGATCTAAAAAAAAATCGCAAATAAAGAACTATATTATTATTTTTTTTTTATTATTATTTATTTAATTTGCCGTTGATAAATATTACAAAAAAGAAATTACAATAAAAGAAAATCCTGGCTGGAGCAAGAAGAAGACAGATTGTCTTATCACCGAGCCCCGTCACACAAAAATTTACATGCACAATAAATGATAAAAGACAAAAAGACAGTATAAATACAAAAACAAAAATAAATCAAAAACTTCAGCAATAAAATAATTTGTTGCTAACAATCTTCAAGCAGAATAATTTTAAAAATAAAAAAGCAATATATGTAAACATAAGTATTTGGGCTGATTATTTAATATCATCAAAAATATGAACGAAAAGACAATTTTATTTTCGTTATCTTTTATACTAATGGTTTGAAACCATTTTAATAAAAGCTAAAGAAAGTGTTAAAGATTTAATTTATTTTTAAGTGATTTAGTTTAAACCTTTAAATTGTTTTCAAAAAAGGTATTTGAAATCTAGTATATCGAATTCCATGTTCAGTAAATGCCGTTTTGAATCATCCTTAAAACTTTGCAAAGTGCAGTTTAAAACGAAGTTTTGTTCTTTACTAAAGATTGGAAAAAAATCTTTCCAAACTAAAGGCCCCCGATATTGAATTTGGTACGAATTTAATTTTAGAAAGTTTATGGGAACCACAAAGTTATTCACTGAAAATTTGGTTGGATATTTATGGGAGATTTCATTAAAGTAGGATTGAAATGTTGCTGGAGAAAACCCAAGTTTTGCTTTAAACATAAATATCATTACTTGATGAATATTAAGCTTATAAATATTTAAAGCTCCAAGCTTACGTAAGAGAGGTTCGCATTGTGTTTTTCTATTTGCCCCAAATACTATCCTGCAAGCATGTTTTTGTTTACTATAAATTTTTTTGAGTTTAGTGTGATTAGTGCTACCCCAGGAAATGTTACAGTATGAAAGATAGCTGTGTATAAACGAAAAATATAAAATTTTTAAAGACTCGTTATTAAGAAAAGGTTTCGTTCGGTATAACATGGCAATATTTTTTGAGATCTTACCTTCAATATATTTAATATGAAATTTCCATGACAATTTTTCATCTAAGAGCACTCCCAGAAAGTTTGTAGTCAATTCCCTTTTAATTATTTTATTATTGATTAAAAGATTGGGTAGTTTAAGAGGAATATTCTCGGCTTTACTAGGTTTATGGAATAGGATAAATTTTGTTTTCTCTACATTTAATGATAGTCGGTTACTTATAAACCACTCGTTGATCTTGTCTAATTCTTCGTTAAATATTTTAAAAAGAACAGTAATATCTTTGTGAGAATAAAACAAATTAGTGTCATCTGCAAATAAGATAGTATTTAATACTTTTGATGATAAATATAAATCATTTATATAAAGTAAGAACAATAATGGTCCCAAAATAGAACCTTGGGGTACTCCACAAGTTATTAAGTTGTTTTTTGAGTCTTTTGATTCTTTAATTATAAATTGCTTTCTGTTAGTTAGGTATGATTTAAACCAAAGCAAGCTTTGATTTTTAACACCATAGTTTTCTAATTTTTTCAAAAGAATTTCATGATTTACTGTGTCGAAAGCTTTGGATAAATCAATAAAAACCCCTATTGTATAGCAATCACTATTAAATCCATTTGATATATGCTTAACTAATTCAACTATTGCATGGTCAGTAGAATGATTTTTTTTAAAACCGTATTGATTATTATATAAAATCTTATTTTCAGATAGATATTTATAAAGTCTGTTGTACATAATGCGTTCAATTAGTTTAGAAAAGCAGGGTAAGACTGAGATTGGTCTGTAGTTTGAAATATTGGTCTCATCGCCAGATTTGAAAATAGGTGTTATTTTTGCAATTTTTAGTTTATCTGGAATATGACCTGATTTAAGGGAGAGATTAAAAATATGGAATAATGAGGGTTCGATAATATCAAAAACAGATTTAATTACATTAACATTAATTTGATCTATACCTGCACTTTTATTTTTTTTAAGACTATTAAAAGCAGTATGTAGTTCACTTTTGGTTAAAATCGGTTCTTCCATAATTAAATCAGTTGTTGCAAGATATGAATCAAATTTTTTTTGACCAATTGGAATTTTCGCTGCTAGGTTAGGGCCAACATCAAGAAAAAAATTGTTTAATTTCTCAATAATAACTTCTTTATGATAAATCATTATTCCCTCAATAATAAGTTTTTGCGGTAAGTTATTTTTTTCAATTTTATTTTTCCCAATTAAGTCTCTAATAACACTCCACGTTTTTTGAGGGTTTCCTTTGTTTTTTTCAAGCCGTTTAGCATAGTAATTTACTTTTGATTGTTTTTTGGTTTTTTCAAATAAATTTTTATAATTTTTGTAATTAGTTTCATTTTTATAAGTTTTATTTTTTAAATATTTATCATACAATTTTTGTTTTTTCCTTGATGATTTTAGTAGACCTTTGGTCATCCATGGGGAATCAACCGACTTTGAGTTTATTAGTTTCACTTTTAAAGGAAATGCCTTATCATACATTTTAGAAAATTGGTTTAGAAATAAATCATAAGCATTATTTACATCGTGTGATTGCAGTACAAGATTCCAATCAACGTAATTATTTAATAAATTTTTAAATTGGCAAATGGAACTTTCATTGATTTGTCTCATGAATACTGTTGATTTGTGGGTAGCATTATTTAGAGTAACGCTCTCAGTAATAAAGAATATAGGGAAATGATCAGTTAAATCAGTCTTGATTATACCAGTTTTAAAACGGCTATTATGAAAATTGTTAGTTATAACATTATCTAATAATGTCGATGATTTTTTAGTTATTCTTGTTGCTTTGTTTATAGTTGGGATAAGGTTGTATTCGAGAAGAATATCAATAAAAGTTTTTGCTTCACTATTTAAGGCATGGTTGAGTAAGTCAATGTTGATATCCCCAACTACGTAAACATGCTTTTGCAATATATTTTTTGTGGTTAGGAATGTGCGCAGATAAGTTTTGAATGTTTTTAAACTACCAGCTGGTGTTCTATAAATAGCATTGATTATGAAATTTTTAGCTAATTTATTTATTATCTCGACGCATAATGCCTCACAATCTGTATTGTTTACATTAAGATCTTTACGTTGAATAAAATCAATAGAATTGTGAACGTATATGCTTATACCACCACCAACGCAAATATCGCGCATTTGATGAACTGATGTATAGTTTCTTAACTCAAAATTAGAATTTGTTTCATTGCTTTTAAGCCAAGTTTCTGTGAAACAAATTATTTTAAAATCATGATTAAGTTCTCCCAATAAACACTTAAAGTTCTCGAAGTTTTTATTCATACTTCGAATATTAATATGCAATATTGAAAATTTATTCTTATTCTCACAGAGATATTGAGTAGATTCAGGTATTGAATAGTACTCACTTTGTAATAAGGTTTCAGTATGATTATCAGAGTTATTATCGCTAAAAACAATATTTTTAGCATTAATATTATAAGAGAGATTGTTCTCCATTTCTAAAAGTTAAATTAAAATTTGAAAAACTATTGATAAATAAAAAATAAAAATAAAGTAACGTTAAAAGAAATATAAAATATTTACGTGGGTTTTCGAGACCATTCGCGAACCACCAACTTGTCGTATGAAATATACGCAAACATTCCAGCTTCTCGTGCTTTTTTCATGCCCGCCCGTAATTCTTTTCTAATTAGCATCGTCTCCGCGCAATAATCCTCATTGATATAAATACTTTCCCCTTTCAATTTCCGAGAGTTTTTTAGAATGTTTTCCTTGTCTTTATAATTGAGCAATTTCAAAACTATGGATCTGACTTTTTTACTGTCTCTAGAACCAGTTCTATGTGCCCTTTCTATTTTTATATCTTTCAACCCAAGAGTTTCTTCAAATAATTTTAACACTTTAGCCTCACTATCACTCCAACTTTCATTTTTGCTTTCCTTTAAACCATCGACTCTCAGATTGTTTCTTCTGGATCTATCTTCTATTTCTCTAAGTTTACTTTTTACTTTTAATATCTCGCTGTTGTCTTTTAGCCTTGAACTTATCTCTTTTGTTTTTGATTTCACAAGTTCAAACTTTTCTGAAGCAATATCGTCATTGGTTTGAATAAATTTTTTAATTTCAAGTAAATCATTTTCTAAGGAGACAACTTTTTTATTTGTTTGTTTTAAATCATTTTCGAATTTATTTATTTTTATTAGGTTATTTATATTTTCTTTTTCGTACTTGTCAAGTCTCTCAGTGAACATTTTTAAGTTCGCAGCTGTTAAAGACGCAAAGCTTTTCTCTTGTTTTTTCAAAAGCTTTTTGGTTTCATCTAAGTTTGCATTGCTTTGTTTTTCAAGTAAATCTGCAACAAATTTCTCAATACTTTCTAAATCCATATTATTATGTTAGTCAAATAAAAATTTTATTAAAGTTTTAATACTACTCTTGTTATTTAACAATTAAATCCACGCTAGAAACACACGTCCGTTCGCTTCAGATATTGAGCATATATCTTAAAGAAAATTTGTTGTTTTTTTTTGCTACGAATTCGAACCAGCTAATGCAACTGTGCTGAGTTAATTATTAATTGTGCATTTTAGATTATAATTTTATTTTGTTCTCCACAGTTTATTTACTAATTGTAATAAAATTTACAATCGTTTGAAATGGTAGCATACGCATTATAATTGTTTTCTGCTCAACCTACCAAATTAATCTCGCCCATAGAATGAATATAGTATTGCCCAATGAATTCAACCTCGCCTGGATTAGTTTGAATGAATTGAATAGATGCAGCATGTTACATTAAGATTTTCGCTACCAGCAGTTTTAATAAAAAAAAAACCTTTCGCCGTACAAAGAAAATAAACACACCGCAAATAAGTAAATTTTGTCGGCATTTACTTTTCCTGATAATTATTGGTAGGAAAGAAATTAGAATTGATTTATATAGTTTTATCTTTTTATGCTATGTTTTTATTTATAATATATCTAAGTATTGTCTTGAAAAAAACCCATCGTTAAAACAAGAGATGGGGGGGGGGGGGGGTTGTAGACCATCACCAAGATTTTAACGGATGGCTATTGAAAAGACTGGTTCTGTAACAGAGGCTACAATATTTAATAATTCAACTCATCTTCATGATGGTATAACTTCTTCAACATCTGATAGTAGTGCTTTTGATATTTTTTAAATGAAATAATAAATAATAAATAACAATACTTGATGTTTCCTTAACGCTTGTCAAATGATTCCAGAAATTCCATTGATTAGTCAGACGCTGTTAAGAAACGGGGCAAATTACTGAAATGAAGTGAAAAAAAATGATGAGTGCAACTAAGTATGTCAGATCAGAGCCATCTATTTCAGTGCATCAGGCAGCAATATTGTACAATATGCCACACACAAGACGGAGAGACAGAAGAGACGCTTTGTCTCTCAAGACTGTGAGACAGAGAGACCCTGAAAAAGTTGTTATTGGAGCAAAGTCAGGAAGAAAACCTACCATACCATTTGCTCTAGAGGAAAAATTTATTGATTATGCTAGCAATAGAACAAAGGCAAAAAACCCTCAATAATCGAACGAGTGGAAATCGAAAGTCAATTACTGTTGTTGCACGCGTGAATGCACAGGCAAGTTTATTCCATCTCAGGTTATAGTCAAAGGAAAGACATCCAGGTCTTTATGGGGTTTTAATGAAGAGTCCGTGCCACTGCAAAAAAAAAATCAAGTTGTATGGAATTTATTTATTTAATCATCAGGCTATTCCTAGTGATTCATACTTGCCAAACTATCTACACCCAGTTGAGGATATTTCAGCTAATACAACCGTTGATGCCATTTTATTACCTGGCGCAGATAATGATCCAGGTGTTAAAAACTTTTTACACACGACGAATAATTGATTGGCATAAATGAGAATAAAAATCTAAATGTACATGAGAGTGCAGCAAAAAGTGCGCTTCTTATCAATGTTAATATGTCTCCGATTATATCACAATTCTTGTCATGACTCTAACTATATCAAAATGCTTACAATTAATGAAAACTGTGAAAATGTACTCAAAATATGTGGACAACCATGGCCAAATGTGGACAAATATATATTAATCCATGTCTGGCATCTCAAAGACTAAAATAAGCTTTTGAAGCCCCTGGTTTACATTATTAATCGCATAAACTAGTTTATTTTGACATATATGTTGAACATGTAGCAACCATGCAAAGAATGTTGAAATAATGGAACCTCAGTTCAGTTGATAAGTTACAACTATCTGTTTGAAAACCGCTTTGATCTTGCTTGCAAAAACGGGTTTGTAACCTGGTGGGCACTGAAACGTTTAGTTTCAACAAAATGTCCAAAAATATGCCTGAACATCAAAATCAGGCATTAGCAAATAAAACAGAAGTAAGTGAAATCAATTGTTCTTTGGTCAGTATGTTAGAATTTTGTTTTTGCTAATACTGTTATAATACTAATTGCTAATACTGTTATAAAATAAAAATTATTATTTAAAATTTAGCTACCAACTGTGATACTCATATTTTATGTACAAATCGATAAAAATTCTGAATGAAGCATAAAGTTTACTAACTTTCAATAGTATTATTCATTAGTTTTTTTAGGAATTCTAATCATCAATTGTTCAAGAAATTAATTTTCAGACTTTGATGTTAACACAATTAACAGTTTGCTAAAAGCAACGCTTTAATTTTAAAAGCATAAACTATTGTTCCTAATAAGCAGCTTGCATATTTTGTCAATTTAGTTGAAGGAAAAATTTTGATTTTATTTTGAATAGATTTTTGAATCTTGTTAAGCGGTAAAAAAGAAATCATTTTTTTTTAAGAAAAGGAATCTTTATTTAAGAAAAAAAACACCAAAAAGAATTCTGCTACAGTTTCAGATTTTCCATTTGCATTCAAATCTTCCAAGCCTGGTAAGTCAATCATAAATAAATTTTTAGTTTCATAATAATTTAAAATTTTAAAAATTGTTTCAAAATTTGTACTTTTACTAAATTTATGTTTTTATCAATGCAGGTGGTGGAGATGATGATATCTTGGCATATCCGAAGGGCACCGCACAGAAAAAGATAGGGAAAAGAACAGGTCGGCCTAAATACTTTATCTTAACTCCTCAAGAAGCAAAATCAGCAATGATAAAATATCACCAGGACAAAATACGACAAGAAAAGAACGGGAAAGAAAACAATTACGACATCAATTCTGCAAAGCGACATAAAGAAAAAGAAGAAAAAAGGTATTGACTGAAAAAAAAAAAATTAAAAAATTGTTTCAACAAGTCCCCAGCAACAACAAAAAAGAAGTTCATTTCATTATCATCTGTATTGCAACCATTGGTTAATTCCGAGAACAATACTGACTAATATGTATTGAATATGTGGCAACTTTTTTCATATAAATAAAAATCCATAAAATTTCGCGTTATATATAAAAACTTTTTTTATTTGATTTTTATGATAAGACCTAATGGTCTTATTTATTCTGTGATAATTTCTAATGGCCTTATTGAACAGCACCGCCACAAGAGTATAGGCATTTAATGAGTTGGTTCCCCATTTCAAGCCTAACCGATAAAGTAAAAGTTCTTCGAGCAAGATTCGATCTCAGCATTTTACAAAAAGCGCTAAAGTTTTTATCCAATAAATAAAATGCCAGAAACATAAATCTAACAATTAAAAATCCTTTTTGAAAAAGACCATCTTAGCTATTCAACATCTTTGTAAAATTAATTTTATATAGCATATAAAAATAATGGTAGCAAGGCCTCAAAAATCTTCCTAATAAGTTTTAATTGCTGCCTTTAAAACAAAACAATAATTGCAATAAACTTACAGATATATAATGTACAGCAAGTTAGTTAGTATATTTATTTTTTTGCAACCAAAAGTTTTTTAATCAATAAAAAGTTTACATATTAAAATTGTTTAACACTTTTCCAGGTAGTAACTTAAATGAAGTCAAAAACAAAAAGTGTGATGGAAAAAACTCTGGTGGTGGAGGAGGCACTGGTGGAGGAGGGAATTCTGGTGGAGGAGGTAACACTGGGGATGGAGGAAATACTGGCGATGGAAAAAAACATGAAAATTTTTCGTATCTTCCACAAGATGTTTTGCCTAACTATGGCGTTGTTAAAATTAAAAGACTTCTCAATAGCTTAGGTCTTGATCATAAGCGACATCGTTTTATCGGAAATACTAGGAACTATATTTTGCAGTACGAGAAAACAGACACAAACATCAACGAAGTTCTGAAAAAACTTGAAGATCTTTTTCAGATAAAACCACAAACAAAGGATTCTAAAACAGGAGGAAGTATAATTTTCTTTATTTTAGTGAAGTGAACTGTTTTCCAATTTTTTTATTATTACTATTATATATATATATATATATATATATATATATATATATATATATATATATATATATATATATATATATATATATATATATATATAATCATTTTTAAATACAAAAAGTAAAAAACTTTAAACATACAGAGATGCACACGGAGGTTTATATGTAAGATCTGTTTATCTACGGCCCCATGTATTTGTACGTTGTACATGGGATCCACATTACTAAAATATTATTTTAATCTATTTATTTAACCATAAAATATGAAAAATTTACAATAATATATATTATAAACTCACATAAATAAGGTTAGGTGTAACTCATATAGTTAAAAACTAGTCAATGGAAAACACCTAAAAAAAAAAATAACTATAAATATAATATAGAAAGAATTTAAAATAAAATATAATAAAGAAAAAAAGAGAAAACAAAACAAAAGGAAGGAAAGAAAATAAAGCACTGATAAATAAAGAAAATAATTTTCATTGCAACAATAATAATAATAATATGAATAAAAAAACATTAAAAATAGTAACTATAATATGATAACTTTACTAAAAATTATAACTAATAATAAAAACTATGGTAAAAATGATTAAAGCAAAGTTTGTAACTATGACAGAAGTTATAAACATAAACATAACTTTTGCAAAAAATGTGACAATAACCATAAAACTATTACTACAATGGAATTACTACCACTAATATTATAAATAGTGTTAATAAGGCTTCTAAAACATAAGATAAATTAATAATAATAATAATAAATAAAGTTAATAAAAAAAAAATAGTATAAAATAAAAGTAATAATAGTTTTATAAAATCAGTAATATAAAAAAAGCAACAATAATAAAAGATAAAATTAATATTCATTAGATATAAACTCAAATAAAAATTTCTTAATTTGGTTTCGATTGAGAAGAAGAATGTTGGAAATAAAAGGGTATTTGGTTAAAATCTTTTTTTTTTATAAATGGTATTATTTGGTTCCAGCCAGAAATACATTAACGTTTTATAGAGAGCTTACCATATTTGATAGTGTTGAAAAAGGAAGTGTGTAACTTTCTGTATTTAGTGTGTAATAATTATGTGTTACTTGTTTTAATAAAAAAATTATTAAACGAATTTGGTATTATGAAGCAAATCAAACACAAAGAGACAATTATAAAGCTTTAGAAGATCTTGAAATTTTAGAATTTTTAATTGAGAAAACCTATTTTGGATATTAGATCGTAAAGGAGAAAATGTCATTTTTCTTATGAAAGTGCTAAACTATTTATACGATCTAATAGAAAACAGCCTTTTTGACCCAAAACAGTTCAACAATAGCTTAGATATGAGGAGAACAAGGAATGGTAAATTGATATTAGAATATGTTAGGGAATATAGTGTAGTCTTAATGACAATATACAATTGGCATGCGAGAGTTTTTTATTGAATTAGTTGATAGTAATATGATTTTATCAAGAAATAACCCGAGGTATTTTATATATTTAGATGGAAAAAGTCTTTTGCTGTTAATTCTAATTTTTACATTATCACTATAAATCTTTTTTTTTTGGAGGGCAAAAAACAATAACTTTAGTTTTATTGATATTTAGAGAAAGACGGTTACTATTTAACCAATGACACAAATGACAGAGATCTGAATTAATTTTTTTTACAGAGCTGCGCGAGTGATTTATTTATGCATAGAAGATAAGTGTCTTCAGCGAAATGATGAACAATCAAATTATTTCTAGAGCAAGGCAGATCAGTAGTATATATTAAAAAAAGTAAAGACCCTAGAACCAAACCCTGTACGAAACCATACTTAATAACTTTACTTGTGTATTAAAACTCATTTATCAAGATAAACTAAGTACGATTTTTAATATAGGATGTAAACCCAATCATTAGCGATACCCTGTATACTTTAGTAATACAATTTTTCAATCAAAATCTTGTGGTAAACTGTATCAAATGCTTTTTGGAGATCAATAAAGATGCTACAAGCAAAAAAAAACACTATCGATTGCACCACGAATCATTTCAGTAATGCTTATAAGTGCATGTGAAGTAGAGTGTTTTAAACGAAATCCAAACCTGCGGCTATAGAGACATTTAGATTTATCAATAAAATGGTAGATACGAAAATACATTAATTTTTCAAGAATTTAGCTGATATTTGATAATAATATTGGTCTAAGTTATTGCAGTTAAGTTTTGAGTCCTTTTTATGGATTTGTTTAACAGATGCAGTTTTTTAAACATTAGGGGAACGCTGTTCAGACTAGAAGCCTTGCCATCATTTAGAGAAAGAATAATTGATGTTCATTTTTGTCAGATGGTCTAATAAAAAGAGAGTCAGTGTTTGATGTTTTTAAATACTTATGGAAGTCAGTATGGGATTAATGAATATTTTGCAGTTCTTCAGGAATTAAAATAAAAAGGAGTTAAAAATTTCTAAGATTTTAACTGGATCATGTATAATAGTGTTGTTTGAAGATATACAAGATGGGTTTGAGATACCATCTAAACTTATAGGATGATATCTCACACCCTATTTAAACTTATTCAAAAGAGTTCAATACCCTTCTACGTAGCTCTCAAACTAATGCTTATAGTAGTAAAGTAGTTAGAAAAGCGTTTTTTTTTGCTTCTTCGAATAAGTGTTACAAGTAAATTTCTATAGGTTTTGTAAGTTTTCTCAAGAGTTAGTTTGCCATATCGATAAATAATGTCATATAAATACACTAACATAAATCGAAATGTGTTTTGAACGTTTCTATATATGCTAAGTTACATAACGGATTGATTTTTCACCGGTTCCTATTTCTCGTAGTTTTTTTTCATTTCACGTAAAGTTTTTATCATCGTGATAATTTATTATTTAAAAATGTTTTTTATGATATACTGTAAAATATGGTCTTCAAATATGATATTTTTAAATGCGTAGGTGAAGCGGAAGAATAAAGAAAATAAGGAACGGCAGACAGGGTTTGTGTTTAAAAAACAAGTTTTATATAGTATAAGACCTTTATAAAGTATTATAGAAAACTTAAGATTTTTTAAAGTAACAGTAAATACATAGTCAAAATAGTTGTGAAAAAATCAGCAAGATTTAAAAGTACAGTCAAATCAATTGAAATTGAAGTAGCATACTACTTCAATTTTAATTGGTTTTGACTGAACTTTCAAAACTAGTTTTCATAGTTTAACTTTTTAGTGATACAAAACGCATAGAAAGTCATTTTTTTCAAGTCATGAGGCAAAATAAAAAGTTTTTGAATTTTGCATTATTTATTTTTGTTTTAAAATATTTTCATTGCAAACTGAACACTCATGCTGCTAATGAATTTTTATGATAAAACAAACACGCTGAAAAAATATTAATATTCATGACTAACTGTTTTGGAAAAGTTTAAGATTTTTAAATCGTTTTTCATCTTACCCTTTGTTCTCTCAAATTTACCGAACTATACCTATCTTACAGCATCAAGTTTTTTTTTTAAAGTTATAATCTCAATTTTCTACAAAATATGATAATAGTGCCCCACTCTACCTACTGCCCCACTCTTTCAACTTTAATATTAAATACTATAATTTCATTTAAAAAGAATATATCTTCTAATTGATAACTACTTTTCCATGATAATTTAAAATAAACTATAGTTACCATGTCGGGACACGAAGCAATTGGTATACTTTTTATTTTTTGGCAACAATACTAGGCATAACTATAAGAGGTTGTAAATATTTTTGTAAATCAAGTTAACTCAAAAAAAAATGAATTTAAATTTTTTAAACTAGGCTTTTGATAAATCTTTAGTTATAAACGATTTGTCGTTTTCTCAAAGAAATTTAAATTTAGCGAAAGCCATTCATAATTTGAATTTAATAAAAACATTACTATGACAACCTTTAATTATCGAGCACTATGACAACTTTTTAAGTCTTTATAAAGATATTTAAAAAATATTTCATAAGAAAAGTTTTTAACCCAATGAGTTTATTACGAGAGGCAAAACTGTGCCGTCAAACAACAAAAGATAAAAGTTTTTGAAAAACTTTTTAATTTTAGCTGGCTACATTGTTTTTTACGTTTATAATCGCAGCGTGAAAATTATTTGGGTTCAAAGGACTTGTACTTCGTGTCTGAAAAAAGAATGAAAAATATCATTTTTTAGTTTAATTTAAGCTCTGTGACTAAAAACTCAAACAAATTTTAACTATAAAATTAAATTTAAACAAATTCCAACCATATAGAATGTTCAATTCAGTTTACCCAAAAAATTGGGAAATCAATTTGAAGATAGGAAATTAGTAGATGTATGTGAAGTTACAATGAGTAATTATTGATAACGTTGATAATCATATGAATAAGGGGGTTTACTTAAAATAAAAGTTTTAGTGATACGTACAAGCAAAGATAAAGGTAGTAATAATTGTTTTGCTATTGCTTTCATATTGTCCAATACTGATTGCATATAGTTCAATATGACTTTCATATAAGCAACTATTGATCACTTAAAATTCTACTTTTTTATTTGATGCTTTTTTATTTTCAAGTTTTTCATATTCTCTTTTGACTTGGATGCTTTGTTCAAAATATAGCAACAAGCTGTTCGTAAAATTCAAATAAAAAAGGTTTTTGTAATGTGCACACAAAGATAAAACTTGTCATTTAAAGATGTATTTATATTTATTAATAATCTTAAGATTTACTTAATAAAATTAGGGTGTCTTAATAAACTTAGGGTGTCTTAATAAACTTAGGGTGTCATAATAAACTTGCGGTGTCTTATGTGTGATGTCTTATGTGTGATGTTTAAATTCTTTGAGGTTCCAAAACCAGTATTTATAAAAAACTACTTGCAATAAAAAACCTAAAATGTAATAAAAAACCTAAAATGTAATAAAAGCCTAAAATGTAGAGATTTGTTTTTTTTATCAGGACGAGACAGCAACTTAAAATAGCTGTATTTTGGTTTTTTTACAAAGTTTTCAAAAATATCTTCAAATCATTTTTCACAAAGTTTTCAAAGATATTTTTAAATCGTTTTTCTTAGGAAAACCTTAAAAAATAAGACTATAATTCAAAGTGTTTTAAAGTTTATTTCCGGTTTTAAGAGTTACAAAAATAAGGATTTAATCATACTTTAAATTTTCCATCTTTTGGCGTACGCCCAAAGATACGCCCAAAGATTTTTTCAAAGATTTTTTCAAAGCGCTATAGCGCTTTGAAAAGTATTAAGCCTAAATATTCATGATATATAGATTCAATACTTTTGAGAGCCGTTTTAAGACAGCCGTGGAGTATTGATTAGAGATCTGGCTTCAGAACTAGAGGTTCGCAGAAGCTGGCTCTGTCCATATATGCATCATAGGTAAAGAAGGTGTTAAGAATTTTCTGGTTATATGGTATTTCATGGTGCTCTGTGACAACTGTAAGGGCTTCTTCGGCCAATAAAATAACTAAATAGATCATATTTAAGGTCTACTTCCTCTTCATTTTCAGGTAAATTCTTAATTTTCAATCTTCTCTAAACGTTTTGCTTTAATTTTCAAAAACGACGAGTTAATCATCTGCTGATGAATTGAAAAAATTACTTACTTTTTACAAAAGTTTTTGTGAGGTATTCTTTTGAATATCTTAGTATTGGTGGTATTGATGATAAAATAAGTACTTTTTGGCTGAACGTTTGAATGCTTTGATAAGCTTCATGGAGCAGGATTAAACCAAATTTCTTTAAAAATAAATATTTTAAAGTTGTCTGCAGTTTCGTTAATCTTTCATTTATGGTATATTATTGTAAAAGTTGATATCTCAATAATTCTTTTCATCTAGGTCATGATTTAGAAATACGCTGGCTCTTTGAATTCTGCACAGCTTAACAGATACTGAAAAAAAAATTTTAATCATTTCATACTGGCATTTTTTTAAATTTTTTTCTTCTTTTTTTTTTACCTTTTTTTATGATCCTTTTTTTTATTTATTTTTTTTTTTTGCATAATATAAATTATTATTGTCCGTGATGTTTTTAAAAAATGATATGCATGTTTTTTTAAATTTCAAACCTAAATAAAACTTTATTATTAATTCAAATCTAACTATGCTATTTACAAATTTTAGTTAAATTTACATTAAATATAAAAGCTGTTAATGAAAAAGTAACTTATCACATTTATTAATAATATTATTTATGAACTGTTTTAATAACTCTTAACAATGAGCTTTTAATTTAGAATATTTATAAATATAAAAACCATAAAATAAACATCAAAAAATATTTATGAAATAAACAGCTACTAAACTTTGAAATATAAATTATAATAATTACTACTATTTTAAGTTCATCAATTCAAAATTTATAATATATTATTTTTAAAACTTAAATTGCTATTTTTCTTTAAATTTAGAAATCTGGATATTTCCATTAAACTACGGCTTAACAAAAGAAACAGAGGTTCCAAGTGTCTCGTTTACTTTACGAGAGAGAAGTAGTGAAGGTAGACCAACACTTGAAGTGGCTATAAATAATTCTAAATACACAAAAGATCATGCTCCTGATAAAATCAGAGACAAAATCAATGGCCGACATATTATAAAAGTTAGAATTGGATTAAAAAATGATATCAAAACACAATAATTATCTTAATTTATTTCTTCAACAAATTGTATCAAATATTTTTTAACAGTTTAAAATTGTAATTAGTATTCATAGATAAATGTATTTACCCACGTACCCGCCCTACCATGTAGTTCACGTGCGTCCCATAGCATGTCTTGAACGTTTCGTGAACAATAATCTGTCTAAGCTTGTTCAACTTGCCGACTTTATCTTTTTATAAAATGTTTCAACCTTAAAAACCCAAATGCTATAAATATATTGCTTAGAATAATTTGAGAGATTGTTTTGCACTCACTTCTTTACAGCAAAAGCAGATTTATAGGGGGAGGGGGAGCAATGGGGACGATTGTCCCCCCTTAGAATGTTTTGAAATTTTTTTTTTTTTGTAATTTTATATATTAAACACTGCAAGTTGTTTGAAAACGGAAACAATATAGATAGGTTGTCTAAATAAAATTACAATTTCAATAAAATTCAAAATTGTGTGATTGCTTGCGTACAAATCATTATATCTGAAAATCGCCCCTTCCTCCCCCCCTCCCCCACCTTACTAGATTGTCTGCATACCAATATTGAAAAAAAGTTTAAAATCGCCCCTCTTACGACATGGTCTGGATCCGCCCTTGCTTTATAGATATGAAGATTTTAAAGACTTTAAAGATTCTTTAAAGAACTCCAGATAAAATATCAAACAATAGTTTATCAACATAGTTTTTTTAGCTGTGGCATAGTGCTTCGAGTTCTGGCTCAAAATTGAGATGTTCAAGTTTCAACGTCAACTCTAACCCATTAAAAGATATTGATAAGGAAGAAGGCATAAACTTTCTATTTAAATGATCTTTCGCTGTGTTTTTTTATAAGAATGTCAGGACTTCTGTAAGCACCTTAATAACCACGCAAAAAAAAATATATATATTCTTTTTTATAGTTTAATAATTTCCGAAAAATCACGCAATAAAACTCGTAAATGTTTTTTACTGAAAAACCAAATTTTAGTTACTAGATAAATCAACTTTAACTCCTCGAAAAATATAAGTTTCAGCAGTAAACTTTTTTTTAAATAATATTTTAAATATTAGTAAAAATTCCTAGAAAGTTAGAGGATTGCACTATGTATCATAGAGTCACAGTAGTCGTTGAAATGCAGTTCGTGTATGGTTACGCGCAGAAATCACGCAAGGAAGTTGCAAATTTGTTGATTTCATGTAGTCATCTTTATAAAAAATAAAGTGCTTGTGAGTATATCAAGTGAAATATATTTATTCATCTCATAATTAATATATCTTTGATGAGATATACCAATCATCAAATACTTCTAACTAGCGTATAGCGTTTAGATAATTATTGTACATTTTTTAAAATATTGCGACGTTAATACACAAGAAAAAATAATAAATAAATAATATATATATGTATATATATATATATATATATATATATATATATATATATATATATATATATATATATATATATATATATATATATATATATATATATATATATATATATATATATATATCAATTTATTTAGTATTTAACAGGGCTGTGAAGTCGAAGTTGCGGAGTTGCGACATTTTTAGCGGAGTCGGAGTCGCTAAACAAAATCGCGACTCCGACTCCAATAGTAAAATTTCTCGGTATTACACGTGCGTGTACGAAACATTAAATTAACTTTATTTACATACCAAACCTCAAAGAACGCTTCATAAATTTGTCAAAAAAGAAATTTTTAACTTACCGTGTAGTTTTTTTTAAAGAATTTAAAGAAATTTTCAAAAATTTTGCTTGTGAGTTGGAGTAGGAATCGGAGTTGGAGTCGGAGTCGGAGTTATGCTCAAAAAATTTCATCAACTGGAGTCGGAGTTAAGGTTGTACACAAAAAATTTCAACAACTGGTGTCGGAGTCGGAGTTGTTCCTTTCTTTTTACGACTCCACACCTCTGGTATTTACACCTGATGATTGCATTTAGTATGAAACTTATAGTTGTGAAAAGTATGCAGTTTTATATATATATATATATATATATATATATATATATATATATATATATATATATATATATATATATATATATATATTTCACAACTATAAGTTTCATACTAAATGCAATCATCAGGTGTAAATACCAGAGGTGTGGAGTCGTAAAAAGAAAGGAACAACTCCGACTCCGACACCAGTTGTTGAAATTTTTTGTGTACAACCTTAACTCCGACTCCAGTTGATGAAATTTTTTGAGCATAACTCCGACTCCGACTCCAACTCCGATTCCTACTCCAACTCACAAGCAAAATTTTTGAAAATTTCTTTAAATTCTTTAAAAAAAACTACACGGTAAGTTAAAAATTTCTTTTTTGACAAATTTATGAAGCGTTCTTTGAGGTTTGGTATGTAAATAAAGTTAATTTAATGTTTCGTACACGCACGTGTAATACCGAGAAATTTTACTATTGGAGTCGGAGTCGCGATTTTGTTTAGCGACTCCGACTCCGCTAAAAATGTCGCAACTCCGCAACTTCGACTTCACAGCCCTGTTAAATACTAAATAAATTGATATATATATATATATATATATATATATATATATATATATATATATATATATATATATATATATATATATATATATATATATATATATATATATATATATATATATATATATATATATATCTTTTACTTCCAAGATTTGTGCATTTAGTGGAATACTTATTTTAATTTTATCTTTTAAACAAGGCACATATAGCTTGTTTAAATGAAAGTGATTCCTTCCTATGATGGCATACTGACGAGTTAGGTGTGCACGGCTGTTTCACTCAATATAAAAGCGAGCTTGACGTCCCAAGAATTTTTGGGTTTAAAAAAAAAAAAAGAATTTCCGCATATGAAGTATAAAAATTCACTAACTTCAAATTAATAGTATTTTTTTTCTATAAACGCTTTAATCTTCGAATTAAAAAAATATAAAAGAACTATCTTTCTTCGTTAAATAAATATTTACATGAAGCGAAATAAAAATAAACATTGTTAAAATATTTTAAATGATTTTGGATCACTTTTCTATTTTTTGCGTATTTTACGGAAAACCTATCAAGATTTGATATTTTAAGCTACATGCTCGATGATTGAAATTTTACATACTTATAAACGAATGTCTATTTTATCAGATTTTTAGAGGACATAGATAAAAAAAATAGTTTAAGCTAGTTTTTTTAGCATTATTATTTTTGTTTTTACTTGTTTTATATGAAAAACGTTCAATTTTTGTTATGCCCTTCAAATTATTGAAATTTTAACCCTCTATGCACATAAAAATCAAAAAATTACTTTCTGTACTCCTAACTAAAACGTCTTCAACCTTGGCAAATTTTGTTGCTTTTATCAAAAATTTGTAATTACATGCGTAAAATGTTTTAAAGCAATGACGTAACTTTAAATGCGTTACTTCCCAATTCACTATGTAATTAAATTTATTAAAACAGCTTTTTTAGCGAGACAAATTTTAGTGTATAAATTAAAAAAAACTTTAGAGGTTTTTTTGGGTAGGTACAATCGGCAGAGCAGAGCAGATCATTGGAATGTTGATAGCGGCAGAGCAGATTATCCAATCAGCCGTTTTCTAATGTGTGATCTGCCAAATATTATTTGACAGATCACACATTATTCAAATATTATTTGGCAGATCACGCATTATCAAAATATAGTTTTGCAGATCACAAAATAGAAAACGGCTGATTGTCTGTCTGTGATAATCTGCTCTGCCGTTATTATTATTACAATGATCTGCTCTGCCAACCTGCTCTGCCGGTTGCATTATGATCTGCCGAAATATTTGGCAGATCACACATTAGAATACGGCAGATCACTTTTTTTTTGGAAAAGTATTGCAACAAAAAAAAACGTTTATGTTTGAAAAGTCAACTCATAGTTCTTTCTATTCGAAGTGCATCTTTTTTCATAAAAATATTTGGCTATCACATTATAAAAACTCTATTATATGATCTGCCAAATTATTTTGCAGATCACACATTAGGAAACGGCTGATTGAATAATCTGCTCTGCTGTTATTAACATTTCAATGATCTGCTCTGCCAATTTGCTCTGCTCTGCCGATTGTACCTACCCGTTTTTTTTCTCTCATGGCTAATTTACAAACATCAGATAAGTTGTTTAATCCTCTGATATCTATTGCATACTTTTTATTTGCCAATAATTATTATTTGATTTTATTTGTTTGTTTTATATTTGTATTACGAAGTTTATTTATCACTATGCAAAAAGGGAGATACTAACACTATACGTTTGATACTTAAAAGCTTAAGCTTTAAATTTTTAACCATTAAGCTTTAGCTTTAAATTTTTTAACATTTAAGTAAGATTTTTTTGTTTTTATAATAGTCCAACAATGTGTTCATTTAATAATAAATATCGAAAATATATTCTTTCTGAGTTTTTTTTTTTGATAAAAATAACATCAAATTACTAATATTTAGCCAAGTTCAACATTTGCCGCGTTTATTAAAGAAGTTTTTTAATATGTCTGTGAAACGTCATCAAATAAAACATTTTATTGGTGTTTTTATTCTTTTTACAAAACAAAATTATCTTTAATGTTTCAAAAGTTATAAAAGTTTTAGTAAATATTTTCAAAAAATAACAAGAAGCCGTAAAGCTCGCCTGAAACAGGCGTGTGTGTTGCAATATCGACGAGTTGAGAAAACCTTTTTTTTTTTCTTTTATAAAAATAACTTATTCGTTAGTGAAGAAAAAAGGAATTTTTACTTCACTAAAACGTTTTTGCTTCAAAAAACACATTAAACGCAATATCTCTTATCCGCATGCGCGAAGTTCAACACTTCTGCTGTGTAGCACAAAAGAGTTACTTTGGATAATTACGCGTAATTTTTGGCATTTCTGATGAAAATTTCTAAGTTCAAATGAATGCTAACCAGCCACATCCTCCCCTATGCCTTCATACGAGCAGTAGTTGCCTATGATGGCGCCATCATAGGCAACTACTGCTTGTATGAAGGCATAGGGAAGGATGTGGCTGGTTAGGTGTGCCACCAAATGGCACGAGTATGCCATGGCATACTCGTGCTTTTTTTTAGAA